ATGCTTCCTCTTTTACCTCTTTCACTTCCTTCCGCCCCCCCCCCCCCCCCACCCCCCGCCACTTTCCCTCCCTGGGCTTGCTAACCTCTTTTCTAAAGTTTGAACAGATCTTGCCTGCCCTACATGTCTGCTGCTGCAGCAACAGCTGCTACTCCTCCCTTGCTTAGTCTTTTGTGTGGCTCGCCCAACTTGTCAAGTACCGTAGGGCAGCGCCTCCTGGACCAGGGCAGAGGGAAAGGCAGCCGATAAGGTCACGTGCAGAGTGCAATCCGGTGCATTGCTCTAGCGACCCAATATACAATTACATACCCCCTACACAGTAATAACCGTACTTTCTCCATTCTGACCGCCTGTTGATCCTGCGCCACCTCATTCCCCAGTTGGAAACGCTCACAAGCGAAGCAATTGTTCGATAGCCGTCCCCGACGCAACGCCCTTTGCGCGCAAGACATGGACCCCAAAACTGATCCTCTCTCGAGCGATTTCCCTCCCGTCTTCGCACGCGACGCCTGCAACGCTCCCCTGGACTAAGGTCGCCAACGTGCCTTCGCCGGCTGCGCAGACATCACACAACCCTCACACGAGGCTCACTTCCCATTCTACCCCTCCTACGTGAGGACGAACAGGATACACACTGTCAATCGTCTGCTGTCGCGTGACTGGGCTTCGGGACACGGCTGAGCCATACATTGTGGGAGGGTGTGAACACAACTCACCACTCACCACTTCATTATCGCATGGCTTAGGCATTGTGAAAGCGAGAACAAAGAGACGTTGCTGTGTGTCTCGACAGAGCAATTGGCCATCTTGTCTACCTCATAATATTATCTTCTGCTGTCCAGCCCCTACCGTATCCTAGTCTCTGCATCGCATCTTCGCCCAACCATGTCGGCCTCACCATCACTTGACGCCCCCTGGCCTTCACCTCAGCGACCACATACTCCAGATCAGGCAAGACCGCCAGCCACACGAATTGGCTCTGTGACCATGGCACCCAAGTCGGAGCTCCTGCGCAACGCGTTGCAGGCACGGAGAGCACAACATACACCTACACCCTCCCCCCTTGAAGCACGCCCACCACCTTCATTCAGTTCGCGGTCTACCACGGTTTCGACACCAGACTCCTCCCCTGATGCGTTTGCGGAATTTGCACTTTCCGAAGAACAAACCGCGCCTGTGTCGCCGATACGACGGCGAAGACCCAGTGATATGGGCCCGCCTCGTTCGAAGACGAATCGTGAGCTGACTGTTGAAATCGAGCGACTCAAAGATAATCTCATGACATCCAATATGCGAGTAGAGCTTCTCAAGAAGAGCAATTCGGAGCTACAACATGGCATGACCAAGGCGAAAGAGCGAATCGAGCGGCTGGAACCATTGGAAGAGTTCAATTATGAACTTGCAGTCGAAAACGACAGTCTCAAGACCAAGCTTGAGCATGTGGTAGAGCAACTTGATCGTCTCATGGACGCTCATGACGTGATCCGCCAACACAACGACGAGCTTGCTGAATCCAACAAGCAACTTAGCGCCCTCTCCAAGCAGAATGAGGATCTATGGCAGAGCCAGGAATCAGCAATTGATGAGGCTGTCATGTACATCATCAAGTTGGAAGAAGATAAGAATCTACTCACCACTGAGCTCAAGTCGCTCAAGGAGCGAGTGGGCGCTCTAGAAACTGCTTCTCCCACAGGCACGCTTGTCGATGGCACGTCTCGATACCCATCACGTGTCTTCAGCGTCGACGAATCACGCCCTTCGACCAGTCACTTCGACTCTGATTACTATAGTCAGCCGGATTCGCCTCGCGTTAAGCCTGATAATGCGTCCAGCATCTCTTTCACTCCCTCGGAGCGGTCCAAGAAGTTCCTTGATTTGACAGAGGACCGTAGAAAGTCCGCACGAGACCTGGTGAAGCGCATGTCGGCAGCATCACTGGCGGCTTTGGCTATTAGATCACCTTCTCCACCACCTGCTGTCCCACAGATTCCAGCTGTGTATCAAGAAAAGCAAGAACTGGCAGAGCAGGATCTTGTTGAAGCTCCACCAAGAGCTGCTCAGGCTGTGCCTGGACTTGACCGTCAGAGTCGACATGTTGTGCCGCAAGATATACTAGACGAAGCTTTGCAATCCCCACCACTTTCAGATACCAAATCCCACCCGCGTGCGACGTCACATGCTGATGGTCTAAGAGGTCTGTATCGTCCGGATAGAGCCATGCGAAGCAAAACCTCCCATGATTTACCCGCAAAGTCGAGCCAGCCTATCGACCCATCCAATACTGGTGGCGTCGCCAATTCTCAACCATCCGTCCCAGAAGCTTCGCCGTCCGTACCATCACGCGTTAGCAGCAAGTATGCGAACACGAGCAATTTCAATGAACAGTTCCCGCGTCACAGCCCATGTCGCCGGCATCAATCTGACCGTGACATGCAAACCTCCAGCGACGCAGTCGAAGTGGAAGAACAAGACTCAGCTCCTCTTCGGGCACCTACGGTTCCACCTCCTATCAATCCTGCTCTATCCACAGCTGACCTGACTTCGGAATACGACCCACGAGAGGATAGAGACCGATGGTGGCGGAACGTAGAGCAAATCACGAGCTCCCCCGTCACACCACAGCCTCGCACGGCCTTGCACCAATCAATACATGGCTGTTCAATGATGAGCACTGGTACGTTTGCTCACCAGAGACGGCATAGGAAGGCCCCATCGCTTGCACCTGGGACCGTCTCCACCGAGAGCCAGAGTCGCTCCACATCTACCCTGCCACGTGAAGAGCGCGACTTTCTCTTCAATCCGGGCGAGAATGTGGAGACCTTCATGCGCAAGGCGAGGAATAAAATTAGTAGTACTCGTCGGCAGGCCTAAGACGATGGCCATTGCACAACAGTCCTTTTACGCTTTTCTCTCCTTGTTTCGCACTCTTTATGCATGGCCCTCTCCAGGAGTGGGCTTTTCTATTCTGGGCTGGGTAAGAGGGCAGGCAAACTCCCGCAAGAGATACCATTTTTGGGAGGCTTTTTGTTTTCTCTTGGTTAGACTGGGACTTTTTGGCCATCAAGGCCCACCCCACTAGCAGCAGTTGTAGTATTAGTGAATCCAAAATAACCAACATGATTTCTACATCTGAAGTTGAAATGTAATGCAGCCTCCAGAGCATAGGCACCTACTAGGGCTACATAGGCAGCCCAAGTCAGGAACCCCCCCACGTGACACCATCCAATCGCAACCGTGGCACCTCCCGCCCCCTAGCTCCGCTCCGCTCCCATTCACAAGGCGTGCGCAAACACCACGAACTGGTTCAGCCAGGCATCCGCCCCCCCCTCTCAAGTGTTCTCCATTCCAAAACAATTCCTCCCCGCAGACCATGCGCACCGCTGCTTCTCCCCACCGAACCACAACATCCACACAATCAAAGCAA